GAAAACCCATTTGGCAAGTCCCGAATTTGGAGGTAGTAGTGATCTTTGACGGTATCACAGGAGGGCTGAATTCGAACTGGGGCCCAAGATTGGAGAACCGAGCGACCAGATCCGCTGGCAGAGAACACACCAGCCGAACCGCCGGGTTGTCGCACCGGAGGAAAAGGGCATACGCTCCAAAAGTATGAACCAAGGGGAGGGCGTCTTTCAGGTACTTAAAGCCTGAGCAGACCGACTCTTCTGGTGATTAACCAGTAGTAGTTATAACCAGATGGTTTAAATGGGCACTCCCCTAGTTGGGGTGCAGGTACAGCAAATAGTGTAGAACCTTCGGGCGGACTACTTAAATTAGGCACTTAAAAGGTACACGTGTGGCTTGATGTACCATTGTTGTAATTGCATATAAAACATCATTTTAAATCCTAATAAAAGCTTTCAGGCCAAAGAGGTCTCCTTAACTTTAAAAAACAAAATGAAATAACTGACATATATTCTCTTGGATTTTTTATTCTGACTTTGATGGTACTCGAAATAAAGCAGCCTAAAATATTATGTATAGGGATTATACAATCCCTACTTAAATTATAGTACTCTCTATTTCATAATTGATATTACAAATACCGTCTACTTCACAATGGAACCTTGTTTTAGAATCTTTAACAGCTTTATACCACCAAACGAAAGCCAACATATGTTTCTTTAAACCTTCCGGTAGCTGTACTATATGCTCAAAGTAATATTGAGCAACTCCAGGAAATATGTCAGTTGATCTGTCATCCAATATAAATTTTGCAAGTATTTTTGCTGACTTTTCATGCCTTTTCAAAAAAGTAGACCCGAAAACTTCTTCTCCAATCTTTACTCTTCCATAAATACTTACATCAGGTAACACCAGTATGGAAATACAACTATCTGTATGAATATTTGCTAAAGAAAGAAACCTATAGTTATATGTATTATTATAATATTGTATTAACAATGCTAACAATTCATTTTGGAGACTCTGTCAACTTTTTTTTGGCGGTAATAATTTACCCAGAAATGGTTTGGAGCCTGTTCCTGATTTTTCTTCAACATTTACAGATATTGAAAGAAATTCCTGGTAGTCATTTCCATTATGCATAGAAAGACTACCAGTTATATTCTTTTGTTTAATGAAATGTAAACATGCTTGTAAATAACTGTCTGCACTCGAAGAACACTCATCCAACAGAGAATAATATTGCATAGTCTTAAGTAATTCAGGCTCAATTCTTCTATTGCTGCTATGTAACGATCCTAATATAGTATATAAATAATTTTATATAAATGTTAATTAAATATGTATTTTATATTATAAAATTATATATAGTACTCTTTGATTAAATTATCTAAAATAAAATAAATTTAATTTTACTAATAAATGGTATGTTTAATAGGCTTTAAAATTTAGATATACTATGTACGTACATACATACTGACATGCTAGTCACCCTAATATATATATCTAAAGAGCTATCAGAATACCTATAAAACTATTAATATACCTAAATATTTAGCTTACCTAATAAACCATTCATTTGTTCATAACCAAAACACCAAAATACATATAAAGGGCCATAATCTATAACACGTTCACATATATATAAACATAAATGCAAATTAGATGTTATTTTTTCTGCTCTATAGGTACTTTCAATAAGCATCACCATATTTAGAAAACATTAGTAAGCCTCTTTCAATTTGACTTTATTAATGATTCTACATATGAGAATTGAACAGGCCCGAATAAAATAAGTCAAAATTTTCCAGTCAACATCTTGTAACAAATCCCAAGTAATGGTGGATGCATACACCAGAACAAAATTCTTCTATTGGTCTGCCATGAACCCAGAAAAACTATCATCCATTGCTATTTTATTAGGAAGTCTTCCAATATCAGAAGAAACTTGCATCTTTTTAACCTGATTTTCTATTAGAACTAGGTTTTGAGATGTTAAGATGCCTACATTTAGTGTTACAAAATAGATATAAAAAAATTGATTAGTTGGTTAGTTGAAATGATTAAACAATTAATTTAAATAATTAGTTGCAACTAATCAATTAATCAATTAGGTACAACTATTGTATTAACGGAAAAACAATTACTCAATTAAAAAATTAATTTAAATAATTAGTTGCAACTAATTGATTAATCGATTAGTTGCAACTATTAATTTTTTAATTGAGTAATTGTTTTTCCATTAACACAATAGTTGCATCTAGTGTATTAACTGAAAAATAATTACTCAATTAAAAAATTTACTTTTATTGATCCATAAATTAACTATCCATTTAGCAATGCCTAAGAATAGGCAATATATAGGATCGATTATTGAGCACTGAACAGAATTAAAATAGGTTAAACGATAAATTTCAGACTAGCGAACCAATGTTTCTGATGTATGCCTTTTTCTTGCATCTTTGGTATTACAACTCTTCCATGAAATAGCACTTTTACAAACTTTATTAATATCTCTTTCTTGAAACCAGTTATCCATATCGGCAAATTCACCAAAGTTTGGCTGGTTTCTTTTGCCAATATTTGCCCTTTTCAAGCACCTATGACAGGCAATTCATACTGAAATAAACCCGCACAACTTTCTTGCAGCCGGTATATCGCAATAACAACAAATTATTGCTCCTCTAATAAACTTGCCAATAGGGCTTTCATGTGTGCTTGAAAGACTAAAACCATCAAACAGACCTATTAATTGGTCTATTACAGAAGCCAAATAATGGTTTAGTCAATGCAATTTTGGTTCATTTGGGCCAGGTATTAATGCTAATATTAAAATGTTTGAAGGCTTAAATCTCTCACTTCGTGAAAAGTTGCAGATGACTCCATAGATGGCTTCAACACTATATTGAGAATTGTCGAAAGGTTGAAACCAATCTAGATTCAACATTATTCCCAAACAGCAATCTGATAGGTCTTTCCAGAAAAAAGGTAAATTTTCGCTAGGATCCTGTAATAATAAATAATAATATAAACCATGTTATTTTATATGTATACAATGTATACAAAAAATATAATAATTAAACTGTTACAAATAAAGTTAATTTTTTGGCCTCATAATATAAAGTTTGTAAAAAAGAAACCCAACCCCAGATTTTAAATTGACTATATAATTTTTTTTTGGTTCTTTAAATAAACAACCCGGGTAGTAAATATATATATAATTTTTTTTTTAATTTAGTAAAATCTAACCGGACATGTTATGAGAATCAAAAATTAACTTTGCTTGGCCTCAAAAATAATATGGAGACATCTATGATTTATGTTAAATAAGTATTGTATTTTATAAAATAGAGATAATACCATATAGTATTATCTTTAAAATCCCTATAACAATACTAGATTAACAGAAATTATAGATGCCCTTATTTTAAAAATTATAATACAGTCAACTACTTATATAACAAACACCTATAATAAAAATCACTTATAACGGACTTAAAATTTAAATTTTAGTATAAATCTGTTATATAAATATTAGTAAAAAGCTATACAAAGAATTTTATAAAAATCCGTTATATAGATAGTTGACTGTATATATATTAGTTAAATTAGAATATCTGAAAGGTTTTCCAGATTCTACCATCATAGATATCGGTAAACATACTAGGATCAACAAGCCTATCTACCCATTTTCTACAATTCACTTCAAACCTCTTCCTATTATATAATGACTATAATTGATGTGCTAAAAAAATAGTCAGAAAAATTAAGGTTGGTTTAAATATAACTTCACTGATTACTAGAACTTTTTTTGCTACAGGTGAAGCACAGGGTAGTATTTTATTAGCCATTGGGTGGTTTGGAAAATCTTGGAAGGTGCAATGGCTTATCTTGGGTGATAAATTAGGCTTGTCGGTTGACACATTGGCAACGCTATATAATTTACAACATTTTTTACATGTCGCATACTTGATTATGTAAGCACAAATTCCAAGAGTTTTGCGTGCTATTCTTAAAGACATAGGGAAGGTGGCATATATATTTTCGTCATAAAAGAGACAAAGGTACTGAAGAAATTTGATTAAAAACCCAGTTTGTATATTGGATAACTTACATCTTGCTTAATACTTCAAAGCCCAAAAAACGATCTATGTAAAATTATTAGTTGTATCTGCAGGTTTAGTTGGATAGTTATTTTCTTTATATGAATCAGAAGTATTAAAATTAATTTCATTATCTTCTTCTTCTTCTTCTTTTTCTTCTTTTTCTTCTTCTTCTTCTTCATCATCCGAGAATAAGGTTTCAATGAATTCCATAGATAATGGGGCACTCCTTTTCCCCTATTATCAAATTTTTTTCCTTTTTTGGGCTGTATCTTAGTAATAAAATTATATTCTTCTTCATATGAAGAAATAACCGATTCATTTTCAGAACTACCAGTATCAAATTGTATAGAGCTATCTGGAATTTCCATGACTGGAAATTTCATTTCTGGAAATGGAATTTCCGGAAGGTCTCTTACACTTACGGTTGTTAAAGATTCACTTATATTAAGTAAATTTTTTACTTCAGTATTTCTATTAGCTATATGAGATTTTTTGGTTCTTGAATCTACAAGGGTACCTTTATAGATATTGCAGAAGCAATATTCAGAGTGGCGGTTCCTTGTATACTTGGGACCGTCAGCTTTTTTAGTTGTCTTTTTAACAATTGAATCTTTTATTTTATAACCCATGATAATGATAATATAGATAAGAGTATGTGTGAACGAAGTAGAAAGAGAGATATAAAGACTAAGAGAATATATAAGCGTATAAGAAATATAGATAAAGATAAATTAAAATAGGATAAAAGAGAGAAGTATAGATAAGATTTATATGTAATCTGAATATTTGAAAGAATTATCGAAATGCTGATATGATTAATAGACTTTTTTTCGAATAAAATTATACTTTTTATATTATACTTTCTGTATGGCTCTTGTCTTGCTTTGATGATTATACTTTTTATTTTATAATTATATTCTTTGTTTATATTATCAGCTTTTAAAAAATATTTTATCAATAATTAATACTTTTATCTTAACATGTTTTTAGTAATTTGAATTGACTATTAAGCTATTAGTATACCGATATGGATTCCAGTAAAAAAACGTTAGTACTGATAAATCTTTTGCTATATTTCTTTTTACATATAAAAATAAATAAATTGATAATTATACTCTTTTTTATAATTATATTCTTTGTTTATATCATCAGCTTTTAATCAATAATCAATACTTTTATCTTAACATGTTTTTAGTGATTTGAATTGACTATTAAGCTATTGGCAGTGTTGTACATGGGACGTGTCCACACTATGTAAAATGTTCAACGTCCAAAATTGTCTAAAATCGTCCAAGCCTATGTCTCATGTTTAACTAATCAATAAAGTAATTTAAAAAAATATATAATTATATATTTTTTTAGGTGCTGGACTCATTGGTGAAAAAATTAAAATAGATTATCTTAATAAAATTTTGAGTAATTTTAATTTGAAAAAATGTCCAAGATTGTTCAAAATTGTCCCATGTACAACACTGCTATTGGCATACCAATATGGCTTCTAGTAAAAAAACGTTAGTACTGATAGATCTTTCGCTATATTTCTTTTACATGTCAAAATAAATAAATAAATAAGTAGTATCTATGTTGATTTAAGCATCGAAGGTGCTTAAAATTCGACCAGTCAAATCATATGACAAATAATAGTTAACTCACGTACATAAAAATGATAAAATTCAAATACCGGATAACAGTTGGTAACTGCAAAATCCGATAAATATAAATGCCGAATAAAAATATTTATACATATGCTATTTTTAATAATTCGAATTATAAATAAAGTTACCGGTTTCTCAATAGGCCTTTGTTTGTTTAATACAAATATTTGTAAATTGCATAATATGAATTTTAATTTCAGATCGCACTAAAATTTTAATTTCAGATCGCAATAGAATTTTAATTTCAGATCGCACTATATTATGTAATAACATATATTTTACTATAAATTTTATATCCAATAAAATATATAATAGAACTTTGAAATACGTCGTATGTATAATCAATTGACTTTCGGAAATAAAAAACTAACTGCAAAAAAATTATAAATAAATTATACATTCTGATCGTGCATAGCAAAAATTTGACTTTTCGCATCATTATTTCTTTAGTGATATTTATTTCTTTGCTCATAATACTTTTACTATACCTATCATTACATTTACATAGACTAATATATTGATTACGAGTAAGATAAACTTATATAAATAAAACACTTTTCTTCTTTTTTACCTTTATCCAATAACTCAATAGATACCTTTCTTTTTTTTTTGGAAACACTTTTCTTTTCTTATTTTCAAATTAAACCCGATAACTCAATAGATACCTTTCTTTTTTTTTTTTTGAAATGATTTTTTTTTTTTGAAACACTTTTTTTTTTTGAAAAATGCTTTTTTTTGGAAATGCTTTTTTTTTTTTTTGGAAAACGCTTTTCTTGTTTTCTTCTTTTCTTATATATAATAGCTTAATAGATACCTTATTTTTTTTGAAAAACATTTTTTTTGTCTACTTCGCTTATATTAATCCTTTTTTGTTTTTTTGAAAAATCGGTTTTAAAAAATGCATAATAGAATTCAATACAAAATTAATACCATTTCAGCTTGACATTCAGCTTCACTATCATCTATAGTATTTCAAAGAGGTACTCTATTCTGATCAACAACACCTTATGTACAAAATCCTCAGTCTACTTCTCGTCAGTCTGTTTCTCGCTAGTCTATTTCTCGACAGTCTACTTCTCGCCAAAGCCATCATCGTCATTCAGTAACTCCACTTCAACAAAACTATCATTGTTGTTCAGTAACTCTACTTCGACAAAACTATCATCGTCGTTTAGTAACTCCAACACGCCAAAACTATCAGCATCGTTCAGTAACTCTATTTCGACAAAACTATCATTATCGTTTAGTAACTCCAACTCGCCAAAACTATCGGCATCGTTCAGTAACTCCAGATTGTCATTTAACTCCACCTCGTTGTTCACAAACAACTTCATGTCAAATTAATAAAGACAATAAAAGTCGCAGTTGTAGATCAATTTCTCCAACTCATCATCGGTTAAGAAGTCCCGATAAAGGTAATTAATTATATGAAAAAAAATTTTTTTTAATAGAACTATTGACTTACCGATATGACTAACAATAAATTTATATGTTAATAGAAATCTGTCGTTTAACTCCACCTCGTCAATCACAAACAACTTTATGTCAAATTAATCGAGATGATGAAAGTCGCAATCATAGATTAATTTCTCCAATTCATCACTGGTCAAGAAGTCCCGATTCAAAAGATAAAGGTAATTAATTATATGAAAATTAGAAAAAAAATTTTTTTTAATAGAACTATTGACTTACTGATATGACTAATAATAAATTTATATGTTAATAAAAATCTCTTTCCTAAAAAACACTGTTGAAGGTTTGATTAACGAAGTGAACAAACTAAAATCTGATAAAACAAAGACATATAATGCTGATAATTCATTAAATTATGTTGATATCAGTGATACTATAGGTGTAATGGGTTCAACTGGGCTTTCTTGCCCAATGAATAATATGGGTCTTGATGGTCTTGATGGCCTTGATGATAATGAAAATAATGACGCACCTTGTGATAATAATAACTTTGTCGTTACTACCTCTACAACCAACCCTAAAAAGGGTAAGGAAAAATGTGATGTTTCTGTAAATGATCTAAGGAAGCTGTCGGTTACTCCAGAACCTCCTTCTAGATATGGAAAAAAATCTCGCGAATATCTAGAACCGATGACGACAGATCAATATAAGCTCTTTCATGTAAATAAGTATTATTATTATCGTTATTTATTAATTATCATTATTAATTATAGTTATTTGATTATCATTATAATTATTGTTATTATTATTAATTTATATTAATTATCGCTATAATTATCGTTATTGTTACTAATTTATATTAATTATCACTATAATTATCATTATCGTTACTAATTTATATTAATTATCACTATAATTATCATTATTGTTACTAATTTATATTAATTATTGCTATAATTATCATTATTGCTATAATTATCATTATTGCTATAATTATCATTATTGCTATAATTATCATTATTGCTATAATTATCATTAT